TTTCAATCAGTGTTACTGCAAGGCTACATGCTTACCTAATTTTTCTGTTGTAACTCCGTCATGCTAGTTTTTGCCGACTCGACATCCTTTTAGCAAGTTTAAATTTTGATTTGTGCAATGGCTTCCCTCAGAACATGGCGTATCGATTTCTAGTGAAGCTAGTTAGCTTGCCAACGTTGTACGATTGAATATGTGAACGTGAACTTTTCGAGGATGAACTACATGCGCAAAAGCGACAGTACTAGTGGGGCGACAGTAGTTTTCGCTCTGTCTCGAACTGAACACGCTTTTGAATGTATAATGGCATACGGCAGAACCCTCGTCAACCGAATTTTGTGATATGCATCACTCTTTTCTCACAAAAAATTTTACTGATATTGTTTCAGCAATCCCGTACTCGAAGCAATTCCGGGATGACGGAGGAGCAACACTTCTTCCGACTGGCCTCCTCAAGCATTATGAACTAACAACTGCTGACGAACTCAAACCGGCTCTTGACAAGGATGCTGACGGAAATTTCTCGAGAAAATGCGAGAAAAACGCTGATTGTGGGGAGGAAGAATTCTGTGATGAAGTGGTTATGCGTTATTCAGATCATGAGGAGATCCTCAAGACTTTGGGAGGTTATAGCCCGAAGATATGCTTTCCAGGTAAATCATTTCTACGAGCGCTGAGAATATGTATGTAAACATGATTTTTTGTGAGGTTTTCTCGATTGAACGTAGAATAAGTGGGTCTCGAAGCGAATCATATTTGTAACGTTTAGTTCTACGGAGTTCTCTCGTTGTCTAACAAAATATCGAGTTCTAGCCCAAGCAGAATGCGCTGAGCCACATGGGAAGTGTCTGATAAGTTGGGAGTAAAGGGCGAAATCTGTGTAATCGTTGGGGGGAATGTGAACAAATTTTTAACTGTCCCGTCACTCGTAATGCTCTAAAAGCGTGTGTGATTGCCATCATAGAACTGAGTTTGTATATCTTGCCTACTATGTGTGAAAACAGCGGAGCCGTGGCTCTTGATTCTATGTGGGCAGACATGGGTTGGGTGTCGATGGATAGATTGGGCGCATGTACGTCACGAAGATCGTTTTGAAACTTCAATACCTAGTGGGGATGTACAGTAGCGCTCAAAAGTCTTCGGTGAAATGGTTCTTCAGCCGTACTTTTCAGTCGTAACTTCTTTCCTATTGGATCTAATCATGCGAAATTTCTATATTTGGAGCGTGGATGTATTGCGAATATTTACCACTACTAACCTCCAGTCTGATCATGTTCCAGATATTCCAAAGAACTTGAACTCAAAATCGACTGAAAATACAAATGATGGTCCTTCTAGAATCTCTCTCCTTTTCATCATGTCAAATGTGTACGAGCGGTAACGACGATCACAATAGATGAGAAGAACGCACATAAGGTGCGAATAAGTGCAGACGCCAACAACTTTAGTTTTAGCAAAATGTGCTACCGCAATAAACACCTCGCTCTATCTGTGAACATTGCAGCTTTGCAGCCAAATAGTATTGGGTAAGGTGAAATATGCTCTATTTTACTATCCGATTTTCGTGCGATTTGGTCTACTAAGAAAAAAGTTATGAACGAAAAAGCGTTCGCGTCATTTGGTCTACTAAGAAAAAAGTTATGAACGAAAAAGCGTCAGAGCGTTTCACCGAAGACTTCTGAGCGCTACTGTATATTAGTACTGGTGAGGTGTGCGGGAATATACTGTAGCAGCTGTACTAGGACCAGGTTCCGCGGCCATGAAATTCTGTCCGTAGACTAGCTTGTTATTGGCCGTAGCCGGTATTCCGCCGGGTTGTTCGACCATAAGGTGGTCTGGGGAAGCCTATGCGTTTCGATGAGTGTGTGAAGAACACGGCAGGTAAGGAGGTCTTATTTCAATCGTGTACCGTTTCAGGTATTTGCGAAGATCGTATGATAGGCGATATTGGATTTGCGACAGGTTATATTGGACTCTCCGACAGTGCGCTATCAGTCTTAGACCTTGGCCCCAGCTTCACTTCTACTCAATCAGTAAGTCGAAGGGTGTTGCGCAAAATCCCAGGCTATCTGCAAATTTTGCAGGATGGATTGCGTCTAAAGGCCAAGCTAGGAGGATTTGTTCCACAAACTGTAGCAATGTTAACTCTACCAGCCATACATCCCCCCCCCGTTTTTCGAACCACAAGACCCTTCGGAGGGGTAGCGTAGATATCAAGTTCCGCCTTTCTGCAAGCGCGGTATTTGACATACTCAGGCGTAACATTAATGCGATTCGCAACAAATCTAGTCACAGCACAAGAACAGGGACTCAGGGAACTCAACGGTCTCGCAATCAGTAAATGTTATTAAAATATCTTTCAGCGATAAAGGGGGGGGGGGAATTTGTGATATTGCCTCGATAGCTAGGTCGTGCAATAACACGTCTGCATCTAAAACACGAGACTCTTTACGAACCGTCTTCTTTGAAAGAGTTCATCAAGCAATACCGGCTGTTAAACAGCGTGTGGGTTGAGACAGTACAATCTTGGCAACTACCTAAAACGGTAGGTACACGATTGAAATTAGACCTCCCTACCTGTCCTGTCCTATACACACCCATCGAGATGCAGAAGCTTTCCCAGGCCACCTTATCGTCAAACAATCCAGCGGACTACCGGCTACGACCAATATTAAGCAACCACGTTAACGAGCAAAATGAACTCTGCAATAAGATTACAATGGTCCTCCATGTCAACCTGGATAGCTAAGACTGACTTACAACATTGCTGAAAGAAACCTTGCACTTTTTCCGGGATGTAGAGGCTCCAAAGTGAAATGTAGCCTCTAGCATTATGATTCCGCTTAAAAGGTTCAAATTCAGGGTACTACTAGAAAAATCCATAGCCATTTATAGTTCAAGTGCCAAGAAGAGCCGCACTCCTTCATTCATGGAAAACATGTATCCTTTCATTACGAACGAATATCACTGATGAAGTTCGGAAAAAAAGTGAGAGAGCGTGGACTTCCTATACAGTACTGTTGACAAATTATAAAGTCGTATATTTTTGTGATATTAGGTGCAACATTGACAGATCGATTGCCTGTTTTAAACTAAGGGAGAAGCTGATAGAAGATGATCACAGATATCACTAAAGAGGACACCTCCATAGAGACAGATTATTAGCACGGTAATATGTTGACAAACATTTTGATCCAATGTGTGATGAAACACCTTTATCCCTAAAACTTACAAAACCCATGTTGAGTAAAATTTGGAATTCCTCTTTGC